TATAGTTAACCCTGTTATCTATCCATCTATCTGTAATGATCTTGCCTTCAAGTTTTTATTGGGTAATTAAGTCAAGTAACTCTTCCCTGTAAGCATCTCCATCGCTTGCTTTGTTGGGTTTGTATTTTCCTTTGTTCACATACTGAACAAACACCAAGCACCCACCAAGTGTTGTGGGAGGCTTAGTGGGTGTAGGTGAGTGGGGCCCATCCCTCCCCTTGAAGAGTTCCCAGCTTAGAGCAAAGTTTCTGAAGGGTCTTCCATGGGCAAAGCGCAGTGATAGGCCATGGAGAGAGAAGCACCACAAACACCTGCCCTCGGAGAATCTCCTGGGTTTGGGAGACAGACCGGCAATTAGATAATAGAAAGGTGTGAAAGGAGGTGGGAGGGAGCAGGAGTGGATGTGGTAAGTGTGGGCTGGGGGTGGGAGCAGCCCGCCTTGAGTTCCCACAGTGCTGCTTTTAAATCCCAACTTGCTCTGGCCACTGTGGGACACTGTGTCTCAGAGCCCAGCAGCCTGCAGCTTGGAAGGAGGCCTTTAAACGGGAGAAGGTGCTGGAAAGAATAGAGTTGCGTAAAGAAACAAGCTAAATTTATCCCTCCTGGTAGACCTCCAGCAATTGCTATGCTTAACACCTGACTTTCTATCAACAGAGACTTGTTTAACCAGAAGATTAGTTGTTTTTCTCTGAGAAAGAGACAGAGAGAGAGGGGAAGAGAGAGAGAGAGAAAGAGATAGAGACTCTGAAGACAGAGATGCACAGAGAGACACCTGAGGAGAAGCAAGGAGAGACAGAGGTAAAGGCATCATTTGGTACACAGCCCCGGTGAGCAGCAGGGAAGAGTACTAAACTGGGCACCTGAGTGGGAGAAATCAGGCAATCTCCCACCCGCTTCCTCCCTGTCTACCTTGCTAATTTCCAGATAGCACCATTTTTCAGATGTAAGTATATAGGAGATGTCTGTGTTATCTTGGCCACTGCTTTGTCCCTGTCACCCGCTACCATCCCTATATAGCTGAGAGTTGACTGTAAGTGGATAATATACAAAAGCAATGATTTAAGTAAGTATTATAAGACTAAATATGCATGCCTTTGACCTAACATTCCCATCTCCAGGAATTTATCCTACAGAAAGTAATTAAGGACACAGGCAAAGAATTTAGCAAGAGACTATTCATTGCAGCATTGTTTAGAAAAGCAAGGAAACTAAATAGCCAACCCTGTTGGGGACCTGCTCAATAAATAATGGTATAACCTTACAATAGCTGTCCATACTGCTCGTAAATTGGGTTATAAATGGTTACTTATTGATGTGGAAAGACATGATTTATTAGGTGTAAAATGCAAGTTACAAAATAGTGTATGACTCCATATAAGTATTCTTATAAGTAAGAATAAATATAAAATATATAAACTAGGAAGACATATACCGAATGTTAATCTCTAGGTGGAGGGATTCTAAGACATTAAAATTTTTTTCTTTTTGCTTATCTGCATTAAAAAAACATTTTTTTTTCCCACAATGAACATGTATTTCTTGTGCAATGAGAACAAATTTCCTTCCAGTGGTCCCAGCAAGCGCCTCCTGCTGGGAGTCCAGGAGTGTACGGGCAAGCTGAATCAGGTGCTCCTGGCTCTGAGGCATTGTGGGAAAGGCCACCAACCCTTGTGAGGCCACTTCAAGCTGCTCATTAAGAATTTCCAAAACAGCGAGTCCCCACCCTGTTTCCACTCCCCATCCTGACTGGTCTTGCGGGCAAGAACTCAATGACCCAACACCTTGGTATCAAAATGCTCAGTTGCTTCATAACCTACTGGGGGGTTGGCTGCTGCCCTCCCTTGAGGCAAAACAGTTTGTACAAGTTGGTACTTGGTAAAGCTAACCTTGCTAAAACTGCAGGGCCTTCCCAGCTAGCCAGGAGCACCCTCCCCTGTAAGGGAGTGATGACTAAGACGCTCTGTTGATCAGGTCTACGGCCTCTACTACACAGAGGCAGTTGTGATTCTGATTGTTGGAGAGAAAAAGCCGTCACCATGGCAACCCAGGCTTGCTCAGCCTCTGGGATAAGTCCAACACTCAGGGAAAGAAGGTGGAGTCTGGAGTCAGAACAAATACTGTCTGGCTGTCTGACCTCAGGTAGGACACTTAGCTTTTCTCTGCCTCAGCTTCTACATCTATAAAATGATACTAAAGTTCCTTATCCTACCCGTTCCCCGGATTAATGAGGAATAATCTGTGAATGGTAAAATGCAAGAGGAGTAGAGCATCCCTAGCTTTGGTTTGTCCCCAGATTGCTGTGTGTGACCTTGGGCAAATCACTTAAACGTTCTGTGCTTCAGATGCTCTATTTGTAAACAGGAAAGTGACGTGCACTGTGACGGCTTCTCAGATTTATTGTCAGGTGCCCATGAGAATCCCAGAATCTCAGGGTTGGAAGGAATCTTAGCCCTTACCACCCATGCAGGAATCCCTTTGATAAGTTCTCTGACTGAGGTACTTGTCCTGCCTCTGCTTGGTTACCTCCAGTGGCAAAGAGCTCATGACTGCACAACTTCCCAGGTAGCTCTCGCTGCATGACACTAATTGTAAGAAAGTTCTTCTGTATATGATGTTTTACAATTAAATATTTGTTTAAAAAATTAACAGTCCTTTTCAGAGCTATTTCTGCTCCTGATTTTCCTAGTGGGTTTGCACAAGGTAGAAATTAGCAGCAATTGGCCAGAGGCAGGTACAGTCCCAGCTCTGAAAGCTTTTAGCTTACTGTAACAGAAGGAGTATGGGTTCCGGGGTCACACACTCTAGGTTAAAATCCCACTTTGTACACTTACTAGATGGTTGACCTTGGGCAACTTATATTAGCTCTCAGAACCTTAGTTTCCTGATGAGTAAGATGAGGATAGAAATACCTACCTCACAGTATTGCTGTGATAGCACTTCTTATTAAGCTTACAACTCTAACTTCCCTGGTAGAATTCTGGGGAATGTGGGGGACAGGTGGGTTACACCTTCCTCTGCCAGCCCCTGGACAACGCATCTGCCCTCCAAGCCCCATCTGGCACGTGTAGGCCCTTATGTGCCCAGGCTGTGCTCCTCTCAGAAGGAGACAGAAGGTTCATCTCGCCCTCCTGGGAACCCCTGCAGCACAGCCTTGGGTCTGTAATTTAGGGCCTTCTCCCTCTCAGGCCTGTACCAGGGGCCATAAAAGGAAGATGATGCAATGGCTTCAAGACCAAGTTCACCCCTCCCTGTAATTCCCCTGCCTCAAGGTCAGCAGCCCCACAGACTTTGCCAGCACTAAGCAAGCATCCCAGGGTGTCACCTGGTGAAGGCTTTCAGCCATATTTAATGGGAATCTCATATGGGGCCAAAAGCCTCTAAGACTTGAAAGAATGCAGTCTGGTGGTGGACTTCAGGCATGGTGATAGGGAAAGCTATCTGGGGTAGAAAAGTGGTCCTCTGCCCTCAGTAGGAAGGAGTCTGGACGCCTGACTAGCTGTGGGCTCTCTGGAGCCAGTCACTTCATTCCTCCGTGCCTTGCTTTCCTTGTGTGCAGAATGACAGGCTGATGCCTGAGACCTTCCCTGCATCAGAATGATAGGCTTCCCCATTTGTTGGATGCAGGATGAGATGGTGAAATCGCCCTTGACCTCTTTTTGCCACGAGGGCCGCTGAGCTCCCACTCCTCTCTGCTTCCTCCACAGATGAGTACCTCCAAGTCCTCAGTGTGGTTGTGACCGAGGTGAAGAAATTCTTCTTGGGGCCCTTGTCCCCATCCTGTAAGATGGTGCAGATGATGAGGCAGTTTCTGTACCGGGTCCTGCCTGAGGACTCCTACAAGGTCGCCACGGGGAAGCTCCACGTGAGCCTCACCCGGTTCACGGATGGAGAGAATGTTGTGGTTTCAGAATATACATCCAAGGAAGAGCTCATCGAGGCAAGGGGGCGGGACCTGGGAATAAGGGTGGGGGCGGGGCTAGGGATAAGGGTGGGGGCCAGGGAGTGGGGGCAGAGCCCAGGGAGTTGGGACAGGAAAGGAGAGGCTGGCTCTGCTTCTCTTGACGGGCCCCTGGGATGGTCCACTTGTCTGCCTCACTTCCATCCTTCTGCCTTCTGCCCCCCTAGTTTTTGCCTCCCTTCACCCTCCTGGCATCTATCTCTCTGTGTCAGGCATGCTGTTAGACAAGATGGACACAGAGAAGCCAAAAACTAATCAGACTTGCTCCCCATCCTACATTTCAGCACTTAGAGTCTGCCTCCTTTTGCCTCTGTCTTGCCCTCTGCTCTAATCCTGCAGCTTCTCAGAGGCCCGTTTTTATTACCAACAGAGGTCCCATGGCTCCTCTAGGGCCTGGACTTCAGTGTTTCCCCACTAAATTACTCCCAGTTTGTGGGAACAGCTTCCCTCCACCCCCTCTCTTCCACTGGTCCTTGATAAAAAGGACTGTGTTATCACTAAATGGGTTAACACTTAGGAAAGGGGATTTTGACAGTGCATTGTTCTAAGCTCATTAATAAACATTTTAGTTATGACTTATTATTGCTGGAGAGTGCTGTGGATATGTCCAATTTTCTTTCAGGGCAAGAGTTGAGCTGCATGACCCTCCACCTGTATTTCCAATCCCCTCCCCTCCTCTGAATACAAGACCCTCGCCACCCATCCTCACATCCCCACACTGGCATGGCCTTGACCCGGGGGGTTGGGGATGAATAGGCAGGGACATGGTTACCTCCTCCAGCTACCTCATGTCCCCTGGGTTTATTAGCACCCAGCTCTTCAAGACTTTTCTCTCCCCAGCCCTCTCCCACCACCTCCTACTCTTACCCATGCCAACCAGAGCAAATCACACAAAGCAGGCCTCTGTGTCTGCACCTGCCATGCCTCCTGCCTCGTGCCGGATGCCCTTCCCTCCTTCCCATCCTACTTCACCTGCTTGGTGAGACTCCAGTCACTCCTGCCAGGGAACTTTCCTTCATCACCTGCCTGCCTTGCAACCCCTGGGTTGGGGGCTTCTTCTTTGGGACCACGATGCCCATGCTTACCTCCATCACAGCACCAGTCACCCCATGTACTGTCACCTAATTGCTTGGTCCCCCTCTGAGCATTCCCAAGGGTGGGCATCTCACCCTCCTTTGATTCCAGGCCCAGGCCAGACACACATTAATGGTTTTTGAATCCCATTGGATTCATGGAAATTTGGTGCTAGAAGGAGCCCTGCAGATCATTGAGGCCACTCTCTCCCTTTAAAACTGAGATATCCGGCCCAGCCTGACCAAGTAGGTTACCAAGGATCCAGCCAGGAGCTGAACTTGGGGCTCCACTTCCCAGGGCAGTGACTCCACCTTGGGTTTAAGGAGGGCCAGGCTGACGGTGGCCCACATGCCCACAGGTGATCCCTCCCCACCCAGCCCCCAGACCTTGGGCATCTCAACCCTGTCCTCTCCCCCACAGGCCCTGCACTGCAGCTGCTTTGTCCCTGTGTACTGCGGCCTCATTCCTCCAACTTACCGCGGCGTGGTAAGTACCTCAGTGTGGGAGGGGGGGTGAGCTGGGATCCAGGGGTGCCTCAGGGCCCCTGTGACCCACATTTGGGAGGAGTGGTCTCAGAATTCAGTGGGAAGACCAAGAATTGAAAAGATCCTTGTGGTTTCCTACTCAGAATTCCCAGCGTAGATAGATTTCTAGGGCTTTAAGAAGAACTTCTCCCCCTAAGTTGGGCTTCTCTCTGGACCCACCAACACATTACTGGACCCAGAAAGTCAAGGCTCCACAGGTTTGCCAGATTTCCCCAGTAGGAAAATCCGGTAGGTCTGAGACTCTGTACCTCTAATCAACTTCAGCTGACGCCAGTGCTGCTGGTCTACGGACAGCACTCTGAGTAGGAAGATTTAACCCATGCCCTCTCCTCATTTTATGTATAGAGAAAATGAGATCCAGAGATTACGAATCAGATGGACCCCCGTATTGCATGTCATTCATTTAATTCGCAGGCACCCAGAGAGTTAGAGCCTCAATGTCTGTGATCCTTTGTTCACAGCTGAGGAAACAGAAGCCCCAAGAGGGGAAGGGACTTGAGGGTGGACACAGCGTAGTCAGGGGTGCTCTGGAGGGTGTTGAGCGTGTCTGACCTCAACAGAGGGAGGCAGCTTGGACCCAGGGCAGTCTGGAGGAGGGCTATTTCACAACCTACTCAGACCCACCACATGTGCACCTTCTCAAAAGGCCCTGTGGATGAGCTCCTTTCCCCCGCCCTGCCCTCAGCTGTTGAGGGACTCCATGAGGGGTAACGTGACAGGGAAGCCTTCGTTCCCGCTTCATCCAGAGTATGGATGCCCCTGGACCTTGGCGTCAAAGCTTCTCCCAAGGGACCCACTTCTTTGCTCTCCCTGAGTCGGGGAGAGGACCTATGACCCCAGATGAGCACTTCTCACTCTGCCTCCTCCCTCTGCCCTGCAGCGGTACATCGACGGGGGCTTCTCGGGCATGCAGCCCTGCTCCTTCTGGACGGACTCCATCACCATCTCCACCTTCAGTGGTCAGCACGACATCTGCCCGCGGGACTGCCCCACCATCTTCTGTGACTTCCACATGTTCAATGGCTTTTTCCAGTTCTCCCTGGAGAACATCGCCAGGATGACCCATGCCCTGTTCCCCCCAGACCTGGTGGTAAGAGACAGGAGGGACCTGGGGGGTGGGCAAGGAGAGCCTGAAAGGGTGATGGGGTCTGGAGTGGGATGGGGGAGCCAATGAGGCCCATTCAGTCCATCTCAAATGATCGCTTAAACTTCCTCCTAAAGCTGTATCCCGGCCTTGCTGCCAGCTGGGTATGTGACCTTGAACAAGGGCCCTAAGTGCTCCCAGCCTCAATTTTCTCCCCTGTAAAATGAGATGATCTCAGAACCACTGATAGCAATGTTGGCTGAACTCTCCCATTTTGACATGCAGTGTGGGTTCAGCAAACTATGGCCCAAGGGCCAAATCCAGCATATGACTTGTTTTTATACAGCCTGTGAGCTAAGAATGGACTTTCTATTTTTAAAGCATTGTTTAAAAAAAAAAAACACAAGAAGAAGAAGTGACAGAGACTATATGTGGCCTACAAAGCCCAAAATATTTACTGTTTGGCCTTTTACAGAAAAGGCATTGTGGGCAATATCTGGTGTAATCCTCCAGCATCCTCTGTGATAGATACTGTTATTATTCCCATTTTACAAGTGAAGAAACTGAGGCTGTGAGAGGTTACATTCACCCAGGCACCCAGCCAATAAGTGGCAGCACTGGGATTTGAACCCAGTCTCCAAATGCTGCTCTTTATACTGTCCAAATGCACCTTCTCTGGTTCTACTATAAACATCGCACCCTCTCCGGCCCAGGGGAAGCTGATGATCAGCTGTTCTTAGCAGGTAGTGAAGCATGGGCACATTTTGAAAAGCTCATCATATAAAGCTTAAGAGCAATGAAAGCAGCTGCTTTGGGAGAGGGGACTAAGGGTCTCTCTGCTGCAAAAGCCTTATTTATTTTCCTGGTGCCCCACCTTGCAGATCCTGCACAATTATTACTACAGAGGGTACGAAGATGCTGTTTCGTACTTGAGGCGGCTGAGTAAGTACCATGTGGTGCCCCGAGGAAGAGGAGGAAAGTGGGGCAAAGACAGGAAGTAGAAGGGCTGGATAGAGGAGCATTTCCCCCCAATTTGTGAACTGGAGGTGCTCTTCACCCAGGAGAGCTGGAAATGGGCACAGGGACCTGACAGCCTTCATTGTCCAGATGTTACTGTGGCCATAAATTAGGACCACTGTGGAAAAGGGGCTTTAGGCACTGATGGGACAGTGTCTAGGGCTTTTGTACAAATGTATTTCTGAATTTAAAAACTATGCTTAGGAAATACATAGCTCATATCTCCCTGGAGCATTCCATTCTCATATCATTACATTTTCTCGCATTTTATTCTCTTTCCAGTGAAACAGTATTGTTAATGTAGAACTAGATGTGACTAGTTTATGTTTGTGTGAGACTTTTGAGTGACATATTGATCAACAAATGAGAGAGAGAAGAGCCCTTGCCCTAAGTTGGTTTGGAAAGCATGGTCCCACCCCTGTGTATCCTCTGTGCATTATCTGGGTGGAAGGAAGATTCCAACGGCATGCACTACACACGCTAGCTCCATGAAGGCCATGCAAACATCTTTGTTAAAAGGAAAGAAAAGGGCTTCCCTGGTGTCGCAGCGGTTGAGTCCGTCTGCCGATGCAGGGGACACGAGTTTGTGCCCCGGTCTGGGAAGATCCCACATGCCGCGGAGTGGCTGGGCCCGTGAGCCATGGCCGCTGAGCCTGCGCGTCCGGAGCCTGTGCTCCACAATGGGAGAGGCCACAACAGTGAGAGGCCCACGTACTGCCAAAAAAAAAAAAAAAAAAGGAAAGAAAAAATGCTTTTCTATATTAGAATTAATTCCACAGAGCATATTTCCAGAAAAAAGGGATTTCTGGATCAAAGGGTGTTTACCTAATGTTACATCATAAATTTTTTTCCATGTTGCCATATGGTCTTTGTAACTGGCTTTTTGGCACCTGTATAATACTCCATCACAGTTGTACAGAATACTTTGATCATTCTTGGGTTTCCAAATGTTCACTATTATAAACAATGCTGTGGTGAACTTTTTGTGTATGTAGTTTAAAAAATATATTTAAGGAGTGAGATTAAGGGGTTGAATGAGGTTTTTCTTATAGGATATGTACACTTTTTTTCTTCAAAATTGCTTCCTGTTGGGACTTCCCCGGCAGTCCAGTGATTAAGACTCCGTGCTTCCACTGCACGGCGTGCAGGTTCAATCCCTGGTTGAGGAACTAAGATCCTGCATGCTGCGTGGTGCAGCCAAAAAATTGCTTCCTGCTTTCCTAAGCCCCGCTGTCCTAACTCTTTACTTTCTCCTGGGTCCATTCTCCCGACTAGCGGGGTAGGGAGCAGGAACACAGGATGGAGAGAATGTGGCTCTGGAGGCAAGTAGCCCTGGGCCAGGATCCCCATCCCCCAAGTTGTGTGAGCTCCAGGAAATCACTCTCCCTCTCTGAGTCTTAGTTCCAAATCTGTAAAAAGGGTTTAGATCCTGGTTTTTGACACGCCAACTATGTGACCTTGAGCAAGTAATTCATCTCCTGGGGCCTGTTTTCTCATCTGTACAAGGTGGCTGATGGTGGAACCTACCTCTGAGTTTTATTCCTAGCCGCGGTCAATCCAGTCCACTGCTCCCTCTGACCTCTCTGCAGACAGACTCCTCCTAACCCTGACTGTCCTCTGACAACTGCCCCATCTTCCACATTTTCACAGGTGACAGCTGTGAAGCCGAGCCCCCAGTGTCCAAAAGGAGGATGACCTGAGTGGGGGTTGGTGGTGGAGATGAGGTCTCACCTACAGAGCTTAGGGAATAGGAGGGTCTGGCTAGGGCCTGTGGTCCTTTCTGCCCCAGGTGGGGAGCCCCTCCATTCTTTCCTCAGTGATGGTGTATATCGAGGGCTTGAGGTCTGGGGAGCCCCTGATTTGGTTCTTGGATCTCGGAGCAGACACCAATTCCCTGCCCCAGGAAATCCCGCTACACCTCAGATTGCATCCTGGCTACCTGGCTGCCTCCATACCTGTCTCTCACCTAGAACTTTTCCTTTCTCTTCCTCTCAGGGCAAGCCCTGGGGAGACTTACAAAGTGGGTTGTTAAGCATCTCTAGTCTCCCCCATTTCTCAGTAGCCCCTTACCCTCTCACCCTCCCCGCTTCCACCCTTAGCTGGTGTGGACATTTTCACAGGTATGAACGGCAGTCTTAAACCCAAGGATGAAACTCTAATAGTAGCATTGCAGGCATCCACTCCTGAATTGGGGCAGTATATGGAGGATGGCAGGTTTTCCCCAATGGCCCTGGAATCACTCCAAGTAGGAACAGACAGACACAACTCATAAGGGAGAAAAAAACACGTGCTGGCTGCCAGCTGTTTTTGCTTCCTCTTCCAATTTGCAAATGTGTGCGTGGCTTTCTCAGTGCAAGTTTCAGCTCCAGCACCTCAATCCTCTTGGGTTTGGTGGGCCTGGAGTTTTCTCCCGGCACCAGATGCAAGCAGGAAATACTGACATAGCCTGAGAAATCCCCACCTACCATCTGGGAACGGAAAACGGAAGTCTGCTCCAGCCTCCTGCCTGCTTTCTGAAAGGGGGTCAGCTCAGGTAGGAAGCCACACCTGCAAGGTGTCACCCTCAACTCCTCAGCTCACATCCTGGCATCCTCTTTCTCCTCCCTCCTAAGGATTCACATCTACCTAATTATTCCTGCCACCAGGTGAGCCTCCCTCTCCACCCTTGGCCTCCCCTGACAGCAGCCTTCTACCAAAGGGAAGGACACTGCTTGCTGGCATCCTTGAAAATCCACATTCCCACACAGACACATGTACATGGTGAGGTTGGAGCTCAGAGGATGCCATGTCTGAAATATCCATCCCATATCCAGCCATGCCCGGCCAAACTGACCTTCCTCCCTCCCTTCCTCCCACTCACAATTGGGTGAGTTTTGACCCAGACACAGACACACAGACACAGACACACACACCTGTGAAACCAGCACCACAATCAATATAGGGAACAATCCATCATGCCTGAAGTTTCCTCATGCCCCTTTGGGATCCCTCCCACCTTCCCTCATCCCACCATCCCCAAGCAAACCCTGATGTCTTTCTGTCATTATAGATTAATTTGCATTTTTAGAGTTTTTGATAGATGAACTCTTATAGTATGAATTCTTTTTTGTCTGCATTCTTTCACTCAGCATAATTATTCTGAGATTCACCCATATCATTGCGTGGTATAAATAGTTCATTCCTTTTTGCATTCCAATCCACTGTATGAATGAATATACCACAGTTCATTTATCCATTCACCTGTTAATGGGCATTTAAGTTGTATCCAATTTGGGGCTGTTATGAATAAAGCTGCTATGTACATTCATGCATGAATTTCTGTATGGACAAATGCTTTCATTTCTTTTGGGTAAATATCCAGGAATGGAATGACCCAATCATATGGTGGATGCATGTTTAATATGTAATGTATATACGTCTACAAATATATGTATAACATATAATATTTTAATATAAAATGTAATATATTTAATTGTAGTAAAACACACATAACATAAAATTTACTGTCTTAGCCGTTTTAAGTGTACAATTCAGTAGTGTTAAACATACACTGGTGTGCAACCAATCTCCTGAACTTTTCCATCTTGCAAAAATGAAACTCTACACCCATTAACCAACTCTCCTTTTCCGCCACCCCCTAGACCCTGGCAACCACCATTCTATTTCTATGAGTTTGAATACTTTAGGTACCTCATGTAAGTGGAATCATAACAGTATTTGTCCTTTTGTGACTAGTTTATTTCATGTATAACGTCCTCAAGATTCATGCATGTTGTAACATGTGACGGGATTTCCTTCCTTAAGGCTAAATAATATTCCATCGTGCATATAGAGCAGATTTTCTTTATCTATTCATTCGTCAGTGGACATTTGGGTTGCTTCCACCTCTTGGCTATTGAGAATAATACTGCAATGAACATGGGTGTGCAGATATCTCTTCGAGATCCTATTTTCAATACTTTTGGATATGTACAGACTGAGAAACATACCAAAAATGTATGTCTAACTTTCTAAGAAGTTACCAAATTGTTTTCTAGAGTGGTTGTACCATTTTACATTCCCAACAGTGAATGAGAATTCCAGTTTCCCCACATTCTCACCAACACTTGGTATGGTCAGTCTTTTTAATATTAGCCATTCTACTAGGTATGTGGTAGTATTTTATTGTGGTTTTAACTTGCATTTTCCTAATGACTAATGATGCTGAGCATCTTTTCCTTGGCTTATTAGTTGTTCAGATATATTCTTTGGTGAAGTGTCTGTTCAACTCTTTTGCCCATTTTCCCCTAGACCTTTAATAGGCTTTATTTTTTAGAGTCATTTTAGATTTACAGAAAAACTGTGAAAATAGTACAGCGAGTTTCCATATACTCCACATCTAGGTTTCCCTATTGTTTTAGGTCTCACACTTGTTAGATGTTACAGCATGGTACACAAATCATTTGGTGCATAGTATGGTATATTGTTTACAATTAGTGAACCAATGTTGATAAATTGTTACGAACTAAAGTCCATACTTTATACAGATTGCCTTAGTTTTTACCTAATGTCCTTTTTCTGACCCAGGATCCCATTCAGGATCCCTCATCACATTTAGTTGTGCTGTCTCCTTAGGCTCCTCTTGTCTGTCACAGTTGCTCAGACTCTCCTTGTTTTTAATGACCTACTGGCCAGATAGTTTGTAGAATGTCCCTCAGTTGGGATTTGCTTGGTGTTTTTCTCATGATTAGACTGGGGTTGTGGGTTTGCGGGGGAAAGACCACAGAGGCAAAGTGCCATTCTCATCACGTTGTATCAAGGGTACATGCTGTGAGGTGGTGTTTGTCAGGTTTTTCCACTGTAAATCTACTCTTCCTTTCCATACTGTGCTCTTTGGAAGGAAGTCACTAAGAAGCAGGGAGTTATTCTCCACTTCCCTAAGGGCCGAGTATCTACAGAAATTATTGCGAGTTCTTCATCATGAGAGATGTGTCTCTTTCTCTGCCTATTCAATCATTTGTTTATATTAATATGGACTCGATACTTATTTTGTACTGTGGGTTATTACTCAGTCCTACTTTATTTATTTTCTTACTCAAAGTGTTCCACCTTTGGCCATTGGGAGCCCTTTCAATTGACTCTTTTGCCCATTTATTTTTATTTTTATTTTTTTTGGCTGCACTGCACACAGCTTATGGGAGCTTGTGGGATCTTAGTTCCCCAACCAGGGATAGAACCTGGTCCCTCAGCAATGAAAGTGTAGAGTGCTAACCACTGGACTGCCAGGGAATTCCCATCTTTTGCCCATTTAAAAACTGGAATTGTTTGTTTTCTTATTAAGAGCTTTTATGTATTCTAGATAAATGCCCTTTATCAGAAATATGATTTGCAAATAATATTTTCCCCCAGTCTGTGATTTCTCTTTTCAACTCCTTAACAGTGTCTTCTGAAAAGGAGAAGTTTTTTTTTTTCCTCTCCCGCTGCGGAGCACAGGCTCCAGACGCGCAGCCTCAGCGGCCATGGCTCACAGGCCCAGCCGCTCCGCAGCACGCGGAATCTTCCCAGAACGGGGCACAAACCCGTGTCCCCTGCATTGGCAGGTGGACTCTCAACCACTGCGCCACCAGGGAAGCCCAAACCAAGGGTCTTTGATGCCGCCTGTAAGCCTTGCATGGTCTGGCCCCTGTGGTCTCCTCAGCCCCATGTCCCATCACAAGTATGCCCACCCCTCTTCCACCTACACTGACCTCGCAGGGCCTTGGCTTCCTGCTGCTCCCCCGAACCTGTGACCCTTGTGTGTGCTGTTCGCTCTGCCTGGAATGCTCCTCCTCATCCCACCCTGACCACCCCCTGGACCCCTCCCCTGTCACGTCTCAGCTCAAACGTCACTCCCTCTGGGAAGCCCTCCCTGCTCCCGTCTCTCCTAGGACCACATTCTTCACTTCCTAGCACTTGTCTTGGCTAAAACTTGAGGTTATTGGCGTGGTTAGTGCCTGCCCCCAGGCTAGACTGTAAGCTCCAAGAGGTCTATTTTTGTCTTCTTCAACTCCTCAGTGCCTGGTATAATGCCTGGCACATATTAGATGCTCAATAAGTATCCATTGAATAAGTGGATCAAAACACAATCAGAAGGCTTCCCTGGTGGCGCAGTGTTTGAGAGTCCGCCTGCCGATGCAGAGAACACGGGTTTGTGCCCCGGTCCGGGAGGATCCCACATGCCGCGGAGCGGCTGGGCCCGTGAGCCACGGCCACTGAGCCTGTGTGTCCGGAGCCTGTTGCTCCACAACGGGAGAGGCCACAACAGTGAGAGGCCCGCATACTGCAAAAAAAACCACAATCAGATATTCAATATAAATTCAAGTAAGTGAAGAAAGGCCATTGAAAAGCACTAATCCAGGAGTTCCCTGGTGGCCTAGTGGTTAGAATTCTAGGCTTTCACTGCTGGGGTTCAATCCCTAATCGGGGAACTGAGGTCCTGCAAGTTGTGCAGCGCAGCAAAAACAGAACAAAAACAATGAAAAGCACTAATCTTGTTTATGAGAATAATCTGGGAAACGATTTTTTGCAAATACTATGCTGATGCTAGGGGTTAGTAATGCCACCTGTGACCCCACGCTATTGTTTTTCCTAGATGCTGCTTACCTTAATTCTCCTTCCAAGAGAGTGATTTTCCCCTGGGTAGAAGTGTACTGCCAGATGGAACTCGCCCTTGGCAACGAGTGCCCCGAACGCTGTCAACCAAGCCTCCAAACAGAGCGGGCCAGTCCAGAAGAATCCAGACAACTTCACACACAATGGGCTCCCAAAGGGGAAAGAAAAGGTGGCCATGGTCCACCTCTGTCCCCACCTGTGCAGACACCTGAATCCACATGTGAGTGGCCTGTGGAGTCACTTGTTTCACCACCTGCATCGCCACTGGCCTCATCACCATCACATTCTCCAACTGACTTGCCACCTGTATCACTCCCAGCTGTGCACTTCCTCCCCAGCTCAACACCTGGGCTGTCACCCGTATCACCATCACAGCAGGTACAACTGACTGGATCACCACCCAGATCCCCACCCCCCCAGTCATCTATGTCATCCAGGACGTCCCTGGGGCCTTCCGCTGTGGGGACATCTCCAACATTGCCCCAATGTTCTTCAGCATCACCTGCACAGCCACCTGTGGAGGAACTGGGCCCAGAACAGCCCCAAGGTATGGACCCTTCTGGCTTCTCACAGCTTCCTCATGTCTGGAGCCCGTTGGCAAGTGTGTAACAACATGGTTGCTGATAACAGTTGCTTTAGAGGGGTGCATTGTGAAGTTAGCCCGTAACTTTAGCAGCTCTACTTGCTATGAGGACAGACTACCACGAGAGGGCAGTGTACTTGACATTTGTTTTTTTTCTCCTTTAGTCCAGTGATTCTCAAAGTGTGCTCCCCAACTAGCAGCAATAGCACCACCTGAGAACTTGTTAGAAATGAAAATTCTCAGGCCCTACCACATACCTACTAAATCACAAATCCTAGGGGTGGGACCCAGCTGTCTGCATTATTACAAGCCCTCCACATTTGAGAGCGGCTGCTCTAGTAGATTTTTTACTGTGAAAGCTGCTGTGCCGGGGCAATGCTACTCAAGAAGGGGTCTGTGGACCAGTGCCAGTCCCTGAATTATCTGTTACTAGTTCATAGTGAAATGAGTACAGAAAGTGAGAGCATGCATTTAGAAATGTTTATAGCAATACAGTAGAGCTATGACATCCAAGAGCTTGGTCATTTTCCTACTAATTCATTTATATTGTATTTCACAAAAGCGCTAGTCCATTATGGATTTGAAATAGTATTTTTTAAAAGTGGTTCTTTACTACGGGTGAAGCACCCCTCTGGGGGCTGCAAAGATGAACAGCTCTTAATTCCTCACTCAGGAAATCTCCCCTCCAACAGAGGGAATGGCATGGATACCAACCTCAAAAACGCAAAAGGAATTCTTAAGTACTATATAACTAACAAAAACAGTGTTGAGGGTATTAATAGAGAATAAGATCACATCTCTCTGGGGAGATAAGAAAGGCTTCTTGGAGGTCACAGGTGATTTGAAATGGGCAAGATTTTGACAATTGTGGTTTGTGGGATCCGACAGAGTAGAAAGAACATTTCAGATTTTGTTTATTCCAGAGCTCAGGTGCAGAGAAGGAAAGTGCAAGGTACATTCAGGATGAAGAAGATACCTGTTTGGCCACTGTGGGTGGTCTGGGTGGGGACCAAGGGAGAGGGGCCCAAATGATGTACCGAAGCCAGGTTGTAGGGTCCTCATGGTCCACCAGCCAAACTTCCATAGTTATTACGATAAACAGTAGCACAGATTAGCAAGGTTTCCTTCTTTGTGGATCTGCCCTGAGTCAGGGGTGACCCCCCTTTCTCTCGAATAGGTTCATTTTGTCTTTTTTTTGTTTTTCTTTTCTTTTCTTTCTTTCTTTCTTTTTTTTCTTTTTGAATAGGTTCGCTTTGATTCTTTTAACAATGAGACAAAGCTATCAGAACATTAAGAGTCAGAAAGTTGTTCAAAGTCTTTCACCTGCTGTCTTCTTCCCTGTTACATGAAATGCATTTATTTTATGTTATCGCACCTGTGCTTAAAGGCAGCCATCTTCAGGGGCCTGAGAACTCCTGGACCCAGAGCTGGCGTTCCTCACTCATATTGGGGGTAGACAGAGGGTATGGATAGCCCAGTGGTTTGCTACTGTGGGCCATATTACCCCCCAGGAGACATTTGGCAACATTTGGAGACATTTTTGGTTGTCACCAAGTGGGTAACGTCTAGTTGGGAGAGGCCAGGGATGCTGCTAAACATCCTGCAATGCTCAACCCCTATAACAAAGAATTGCCTGGCCCTTAGCGTCGGTAGTGCTGAGGCTGAGGCATCCTTTTGGAGCCTCCAGCTGGTCTCAGCAGTGACACCCTAGGCCACCTGTAGGAATTGGGCAGAGTGGAGCCCCAGGGGTTCATGTTAGCAGTCATTTGGCAGTGGCCATGTTGTTGTTGGGGGCGGGAGGTGCTGCAAAAAGTCCCAGGAAAATCCATAAACAAAGGAGCCACAAATAGATTTGGGAGAGTGAGGGATATCCAGCAGGTCCCCAAATGAAAAAAGTTCAGAAGAGGAAGTTATTAATTTATTCTATATTATTTTTATTTACATGTATTACATAATTACATATTAATATTCATGTGTTATATATCCCCCTACTCATCAGAAACATGCAAAGAGCTTACTTAAGGGAATTCCCTTGTGGTCCAGTGGTTAGCATGTAGGCTTTCACTGCTGTGGGCCCAGGTTCAATCCCTGGTTGGGGAACTAAGATCCCGCAAGCCAAAAAAAAACAAACAAAAAAAGGGAGCTTACTTAAGAACAATTGTCATGAAACTATTTGTATTTCCTATTCCTATTCCTATTCCAGCAAGAAAGACACAAAGCATTACATAAAGCAGATGCTAGAAGGTTTAGACCCCTGTGGGGGATTTTCTTGAAAACTTTCCCTGACACAACTGGCTGCTTTTTATGAGGGAATTGCCGATAATATTATATCAAGGGTTAGCTTCAGACCTTCTGTAAATGTCACTGCCCTGGATCTGAGTCAAATCCAACATGATTCTGTTCCCAAATACGAGAATTTGAGAGTAAAATTTCTTTACCGTTTCTGAACATTTCACTTACTTCCTATTGTTATTTCAAAAACGACTAAGTACTCCTCCGCAACCGCATCTCACTCATGTCTCCTATATTTTCATTTTTGGCTGTAGCTCCCTGTGCTTCTTCAAATTCCAAAAGCACTGTGCCTCTGGCTAATGGGAAGGAAACCATGAGCAAGCCTTATGCAATGTAAATGTCTCCTCAGTTGGGAACATGTTCTTTCCTTTGGTCAGGGGAGAGGGCCCAGCTACGTGATATTTTCCATCTCTTGCCCAAGGAGCACTGGGTTCCTTTTCTGGATGTGATTTCAGTCCATCCCCTTGCCGTTCGCAGACCACCACTCCCTCTTCTCTCTTCCTCAGTGAAGGCAACGTGTGGGACATGAGCCTATTCATGCTGACAGTGTCATTCCCCCCAGTCCCTGCTGTGCACCCTGGGGAATGTACCTTCTCTAAATGCAGTGGGAGAGTGTGTACCCCTCCTTGAACCTGACTCTCTGTTGATGTCTCCGTTCAAAAGAGCTGGCAGGCATGCTACATTCTAGCCTTTGGTGGATCCTGCACAGTATAAGTTAAGAGACTCTACCAAAAATTTCCCTTAATCCAAATTATTTTCTATCAGCATAAAAAGAGGGCTAATATTCCTATGTTGTAGATTGTCCCCAGAAAATCTTTTTTCATAATATGCACCAACTGTCTGGGTTGCTGGGTTGTTTAACATGTACTCCATTATTGTCTTTGCAGTGACTGGGAGAGGGCCTGGGGAGCTGTTTTTTGTTTGTTTTGTTTGTTTGTTTTTTCCTCTCTGGGAACCACAATACCCAGACTCCTTTGCTGACTGAATGCCAGTGGGGTTAGCCAGTGGAATGCAGCAGCAGGAGATCAGAGGGTGAATCAAGGGTATTTCTGCCCCCCAACCTCATCCCTTCCTGCCTTGGGGTAGCTCTGGCAGTGGCTGAGTTTTTCTATGGCCACAGTTGCAGATAACAGGGCCTGAGGCACAACTAGAGAGAAGCCCACACACAGCAACGAAAGATCCCACATGCCTCAACAAAGATCCCGCGTGCTGCAACTAAGACCTGACGCAGCCAAATAAATAAATAAATATTAAACAAACAAACAAACAGGTGGGTGCTCATGTGACTCAACAGGTAGCGCTCCTAACTGTTGCCAACCTACAGCTAACGGTCCTGACCAATGTAGGCCTGCTTCTTATATAGCTTTTGACTATATTAGACTGTTGTTGATTTAATCAGTCAACCTTTACTGAGCACCTACTAAATGCCAAGCACTCTTCTGGGTTCTGGGGATATCAAAGATGAATTCAACTTGATCCCAAACTTTCAAGAATTTACCCCAAAGTTGAACTTTAGACCAAAGACAAGAGTAAAACCAACTAATTTGCCAAACTGTGAGCCCCGTATAAACCAAATCTTAATTTTTTTACTGAACCATAAAATTGTTTTTAAAGGCACATCCATATATACATACACACTCACAAATTCAAAATGCCAGCCTCAAACCCAAATCAAGCCAGGTATCACCTACAGTTATTTCACAGGATTATTGGAGTATTCTCTGAATGGAACAGACCTTGCTATTTAATTTGCTTCAAGCCTTAATTGGCTGGAAAAATTTCTAACTCTTTCTATGAGACATCCAGTCCTGGGTGGGAGTCCCTGGGTAGGCACAGGGGTGTATCAGGTAGATGAGGGTCAGAGGCTCACCCTGGCAGCCATAGGCCCACTGCAAAATCTGGGCAAGTAGGTACTTGGTGGGTGGTAGGAAGCAGTATGGTGGGGAGGAAATTCAGAGCTGCTGCAGCAAGTAGGGCAGACCTACGTGTCACTTTCTGGATTAAAGGATGGGCAGCAAGGGTGTAGGACCCAGAGGGAAGCTGGTGGTTTCTCGGGTTTGTAGGATCACTGCTGCCTGGGATTAGTCTCACTCTGTTCCTTGGTCTCCATCCCCAAAACTTCCCTGAACTTTGAGTCTGTCTCTAGAAGCTCAGGGTCAGGTTTGGTCATGAGGATGTAGGCAGGTCTGCCATGGGTGTGGGGAAGCTTCCCTGCAGCTAGGAGTGCCCTCTGGAAGCCAGGTCCAGACTCGGGTCTTTGATTCCAGAGCCAGGCCTCTTCCCATACATCAGAGCATTGGGAACTGTGCAGTTCAGCCAGAGCTACCTTGGTTGATAAACTTCTAGGAATCAAGGTGCTTTATAAAGACGCAGGCTGTGATAAAAAAACAAAACAAAACAAAACAACATTCATAAGCTGTGGAAAACACTGTTGTCAGTGGGTCACACATCCTGTGTGCGGTGCTCCTTTATAGAACAGGTTATGAAACTGCTTGGGGGAAATTTACCAATTGATTTTAAGCAATTCCATGCTTTGAGTTCAAATACAAGGTTAATGGGCAGGGAAAAAAGGCTTAAAAATATTAGGCATAGAGAAGTAGGAGCGGTCCAGGAAGAGGAAAGGTCTGTTCCAAAACTACAATCACAAGAGACATTGTCACATCCACAGGCTAGTCCTGTGTAAATTCCTGGTCCCCAGCTGATATCTCTCCCAGCAGAGGAAAGAGTCTAGAATAAAAGCTCAGGGTAAATCTCCCATACATTAATGGGCGTGCGTGTGTGCATGCGTGCGTGTGCATGTGTGTGTGTATGTTTTAAATTAGAAGTTCAAATCCATACTCTGGTATGGGTTGTATTAGTCAGTTATTGCTGCTATGATAATGCTGTATAACAAATGACCCTCTTCCCCCAAGATCTCAGTGGAGTACAAAACAAACATTTATTTTTTTTCTTCTCGTTCATAGGGCTATGAGTTGGCTGGGATAGCTCTGCTTAGGCTACAGGTTGGGGTCAAGTCTGCTCCCTGTCCCTTTTATTTCCAGGACCAGCAGTAATGCCAGATATGCCCTTCTCCTGGAGCATGGCTAGATATATATATATCAGCCTAGCTTTCCTCTGCTAGTCTTATCTCTTCTCAGTGGTCATCGGACTCAGGTTGTGTAACTGACCTCAAGGTAGAGAGACAGATTGAGAAGTTGAGAGACTGCCTACAGGCTACAAATGGAAAAGGAGGAGGTCCACCTTGCTGATTGCTACCCACATCCTTCTAATTGCTGCCAAGTCTGTCAGACTCCCCAAATTTCCACCATTAAAGAGCCCCTCCTTTGAGTTACTATGGAATTAGTAACTTATTAAAAGTTATTAATTCAAAGGTGAGTTTAATAATGGCTAAAACTTATAGAGTAGTTATTATGTTCCAAGCACTGTGGCACAGAGAGGTTAAGTAACATGCCCAAAGTCACACAGTTGGTAGATGGCAGAGCCAGGATCTGAATCCAGATCGTCTGTCACCAGAATCTTGATGTTGACCAAGTGGTACAGTCTCCTGGGGTAGAAGGAGCACTGGAGTGAGAATCAGAAGTCACAGAGTCTAGTCTAGTTCCTCCATTTGGGCAGGAGAGGCCTGGAGGTGCACTTGGAAACATGGCAGGGGGTAGGTCAGGCTGGCTTATGTGCCATGCTAACGAGATTGAACTTCACCTTTGTTACTGGGGAGTCATCATAGGATTTAAACAACAGAATGACACAGTCATATTTGAAAATTATCCAAGAATGTGCAAGTCCACATCCCAACATTTCTCCAAGATGAGCTCTTCAGGTGTCTTCCTGCAGTTTCCCAGAGGGCGCAATTGACTTGCCCAGGGTCACACAGCAGGTGGAGGAGGGCTTGGAAATCAGGGCTTCCAATTGCTCCTTTTTGTCTCATTTCCCCTCACATGTGCTTAACCTCAACTTCTCACATCCAGGTCTGCTCCCTGCCCACTCGACTTCTCTCTGCTCTCCACTTCCAAGACAGTTTGGGTCACCTACAGGCCTCATCCCAGCCAGATCAAGGAATATAGCTGCCCTGAGGTGTGGAACTCCCCAGCGTGTCCCTGGAGACCGGACACTGCCTGTTCTGTCCCAGGATACTGTGGTGACCTCTGAGCCCTGTTGCCCCACCTTCATTTCTACCCCCACCTGCTTCTTCCTGGTCACAGTCAGGGCCAACCCTAGCCCATATAATGCCTTGTACACTGAGAAAACAGCACCCCTTCCTTCAGAACTTGACTGCCAGCTGCTTGAATGTTGTCATAATACACTGATTTCGTTTGAACAATTGACTGCCAACTGCTAGAAAGCTGTATGAATGACATGTAAGTATGTCTGTGAAGTGCTTACCCTTTTTTGTATTGGCAGTGCACCCTTGGGCAGTGTGCAGTCTGAACAACTGTCCTCCGCACTCTGGAGGCCACTCCACTTCTTCCCTCTTCCTGCAAAACCAAATACCAACCAGACTTTGGCAAGTTGAATAATATTTCAAACACTCTTTTATCAACTCCTGCTCTGCAAATGGAATCCTCCTTTTGCAAAAGACCCTTGTATAATAAAGTGAACCCTCGAACTGGCTTTTGGTATAAATTGAGTTTTCCAGTTTCCACGTATTAGCCTGCCTACTTGCTCAGGATGCCCAAGGCATATAAATCTGTGAGGAGTGTTCTCAGTGGAAATAAAGGGAGGGAAGTCCTTGATTCGGGTCTTAGAAATGATGAATTTGTGTCCTTTTTCTAGGAAACTGTGAGCCGAGAGAGAAAACTTGAGCTGGAACGGGAGAGAACCAGACGGCCGCAAGGCCAAGGCTTCTCCCCGCTGCTCTCAGACGCCCTCCTCTCACCCCAGGCCTTTCGGGGACCTGCGTGCCACCCACTACCACACCTGTTGGTGTAGAGGGTCCTGCTTCCCCCAGGCAAGAGCCTTCTTGTCTAAACATCCTCCCAGCTTCCCTGCAGTCCTTCCACTACTCTGCTCTGGACAGACAGATGGACGTCAGCACAGACGGGCACTGAAGAGTGAGCGGCACAGCCTCCTCCCAGCTGGCTGGGCTCCTCTGGGCCTTCCTCCCAACCTAGCCTGAGTTCACTTCTTCAAGATCCTAGCCCCCCAGGATCTCATCCACAGGGCAAAACTGTTGCCGGTCAGGCAGAGCTGAGCCATGGACACCCTTTCCTGTTTCCTGTGGTGTCAAGAGACCACATCTTCTTCTGTTGCTTGTTTTTTGTTCACACAGCGTACAAAAGGCTTGACTTGGAACCAGTGGGCTCCACCTCAGCCACTCATGGAAGTCCCCAGGTGGGGCTCATCTGGCATGCAGCCTTTACAAGCTCCCGAGGGATTATGTGGTGCAGTTGGGTGGAGTGGGCAGCCCTGGCCTTCACGGAGTCCTCCCATGGTTGTAGAGGAAACGGGAAGCTTTATGTCCCCTCCCCTCCCCTTTCCCGGCCCAAATGAGGGCAGACTCTGTCGGCTCTTCACACCCAAGTGAAAATGGTCCACAAGAAAGATATCTTTGGGACTTCCCTGGTGGCGCAGTGATTAAGAATCTGCCTGCCAATGCAGGGGACTTGGGTTCAAGCCCTAGTCTGGGAAGATCCCACATGCCATGGAGCAACTAAGCCCGTGAGCCACAACTACTGAGCCCGTGTGCTACAACTACTGAAACCCATGCACCTAGAGCCTGTGCTCCGCAACAAGAGAAGCCACTGCAACAAGAAGCCCACGCGCCGCAACGAAGAGTAGCCCCTTCTCTCTGCAACTAGACAAAGCCCGCATGCAGCAACGAAGACCCAACGCAGCCAAATATAAATAAATAAATTTATTAAAAGAAAAAAAAAAGACGTCTTTTACCTCAATTTTTCCAGCCTGTCCAGAAAAGAAAAAAAAAAAAAAAGGGCTTCCCTGGTGGTGCAGTGGTTGAGAGTCCGCCTGCCGATGCAGGGTACATGGGTTCGTGCCCCGGTCCGGGAGGACCCCACATGCCATGGAGCGGCTGGGCCCATGAGCCATGGCCGCTGAGCCTGCGCATCCAGAGCCTGTGCTCTGCAATGGGAGAGGCCACAACAGTGAGAGGCCCACGTACAGCAAAATAAATAAATAATAATAATAACTCACTGCTTCCCAGAGTGTGGATAACCTCTAGCTCCAGCCGGACCCAGTAAGGAAGCCTGGGCTGCCCACAGGCCTCAGATGCATTTGCTTAACAAATCCTAGAATGCTAACCCCGGTGGACTGGGTGGAAGACAGCCCTGAACTGTGGCCCTTGAGAAGGACACATGCAAATTTAACCCATGGTGGGTGGGTTGGGAGGCTATGGCACAGAGGCCTGGGTGGAAACTACATTTAACAGGACCATGTCAGGGAACAAGAGTCCACACAAGCCGCCTTCAGATGGTTCTACCTGGAGGAACCTAAGTGTACCTTGGAGAAGCCTGAGAAGAATCAGATCTCAGGTGTTCTTGTACCCTCTGCCTTCTCCAATTCTGCGGCCCAGACCAGTCAAGGGAAGCACCCGGGAGTTATGTGGAGCAGCCCTGCTGGCTGCAGTCCTTTTCCCCAGGAAGGTCTTGCTGTTTGCAGGTGCCTATGTGCCCAGAGGCCCTGAGACACGTGAGCCAGGGGAGGGAGGATTTCAACCTTGTACAACTCAGGAACACTTATTCCCTGGTGTGCAAGGGAGGATTGAATATAATGTTAACTATTGTTTTAACTCAAAGCCTGTATTTAGGGCCCAGATGCTCTGAGGTAATTAGAGAATTGTTCTTGCATTAGTTCCAGGGTTGCCATAAAAAATACAGGATACCCTGTTAAATTTGAATTTTAGATAAACAACGAATAATTACCCAGTGTAAGTGTGCCCCCAGCATAGCAATTATTTGTTGTATATCTGAAATTCAAATTTAACTGGGCCACCCACATTTTTCTTTGCTAAATTTGGCAACCCTAATAGTTCCTTTCTCCTTTTTATGCCTTAAAAACAACAACAACAATAACAACAAAAACAACACTAATGAGTTGTTTTTTGATGCGCCAGTCACTGTGCTTTGAAATCAGGAGGTGTCCCTGAGGCCAGAACACTTCCTGGTCTTCCAAACAAGCATATCTGAATGACACCTACAGTGCAGCCAACTGAATAAATTATGTGTTAAACATAGATGCCCATCTGTTAAGTGCATGTGGACATTCTGGTGAGAGATTAAACAAAAATTTATTTTTAAAACTAGGACATTTAAAACCAACATCTGAAGAAAGTATCAACAGGCCTTCTACATGATGTAGGCATATTTTCAGCCCTGGTGGATCAAGAAAACACATGATTAAAAAAAAAATGGGGAAATAAGTTGGCAGTACACACTGGGATTGGCCCCAGAATGCAAAGGCCCTGATTCCCGGTCCAGTGCTCTGGACCAATGCCTTTTGAGGTAGCTCCCCTATTTCCTCCCTAGCTCCCAGTTTAGAGATAGAACCACTGGTTGTACAATTCCAGTTGAGGACCAAGGCCTCCCAGATAATGCCTGGCAAAATTGCCTAGATCTCAGGAGTTCCCCCCATTCATTCATTTGGTCAGTACTTAAAGATTGCCTCCAGCTCTGTGGGGTGGGTATGTTTATCCACAGAGTGAAAGCACTTACTACCTCTCTTTAGAGAGACTTCAGCATAATAGAGCCAGAAGAGATCTGATGGGTCACTAATCCAGCCCAGAATCCAAGGTCTGGCGAGGAGAGGGAACATGGGACGTGGACAGGGTCTTGCAGCAAGTTTGGGGCAGGTGAGCAGAGGGGGAGTCCTGGTCTCCTAACTCCCAGTCCAGTGCTATTTCCCCCCATGGCCTCTGCCTCCAGCTTTGCGGAGGAACATTTCTGCATTCTCCACTGAGACAAGCTCACAACGGTGCAAGGATGCAGAATGGCTGCCCACTCTTGTCTTCAGTCATGTCTGTGAATCACTGGATTGGGACATCTTCAGGGTTTCCCGGCTAAAGCCGCCGATGTTTGGATAATTCAGGGAACTTGAGTGCAAAGCATAGCTTTCAGTCTGGACTCTGGCTCTGAGGATTTGTGTCGCTCTGGGAGGAGAAAAAGAACACAGGTCTTAGCCATAGCCCAATTATGTATGGGTCCCACCCTGATAACAACAGACTTCTCATTAACCCACTAGCTCCCACCTCTGGGTCTTTGCTCATGCAGTACCTCCTGCCTGCAGTGTCCTCCTGGTCCTTTCTCCCCATCTATAGCTTCTCCATCCTCAAAGGTCAAAATCAATACCTGCTACTTCCTGGAAGGCTCCCGGAACCAACTTGCTTTATTGACCTCAGTTAGTGCTAATTTGGCATTTAATTGATATTTAATTCTGTTATCAGTAAACATTCTATCCTTTTCCACTAGCAGAACCTTCCACAGGCTCTCATAGCACCCTGCACAGTTAGGCTCATAGGAAGCTCTGAGTGTCTATTGGTTGAATAAATAAATGAAGGAATGGCTAGTAAAACCAGAAGATGGAGTTAGGACTACTGAGGGTGTCAGAATTGATGCTTCTATAATATCTTTCACAAAGAACTCAGATCACTCCATCAGCTATTACCTAACCCACTTTAGAGGGCAAATTATCCCTATTCTCCAGGAGAAGACAGTGAGTCTGAGAAAAGAGAGGTCTAAGGTCACGAGGAGTTTCCACTAGGAAAACCATTCGAATGATGCGGTACAAGTATCATGAAATAAGACCTGCTTTCTTGAGAGTCTTATCACATGGCTTCTAAAGGTAATTCCAGGAGGAGAAGACAAAGGGTTTGAGTGATGGTGACATCATTGCAATAAAGGTCTGGTTTCCCAGGGGACAATTTGGATATAGAAGTTCCGGTCCTATGTGTCCAACACCAATAGGACATTTCATTCCTTTAAAATCACAACTCCACTCAGTAGTTTCTGCACTATAGATCTGGTCAAATGTTTGTAAGCAGGTCATCTTAAGAGAATTTGAAAAGAGTGGGAAGATCTCTATCAGAGTCCAACAGAAAATTCAGATTAAAAACAAAATCAGTGTTAAGTTTTATCTCTACAGGAACCATCCTACAGCCTCAGGGAAAGGGGGATTATTAGGAAAAGCATGAAACCAGTCAAAAGAGTGAGTGATGGGGGATTCCCTGGCAGTCCAGTGGTTAGGACTCCAAGCTTCCACTGCAGGGGGCATAGGTTTGATCCCTGGTCGGGGAACTAAGATCCCCCATGCCAAAAAAAAAAAAAAAAAAAAGGCTGAGGGAGTTCATTATCACTAGACCTGCCTTACCAAAAATGTTAAAAGAAGATCTTCGGGGCTTCCCTGGTGGTGCAGTGGTTGAGAGTCCACCTGCCGATGCAGGGGACATGGGAT